TGTTTGATCATTTTGGATATTAGATGCATTTGATGTCTGATAGCTCCTGGTAAGTTTCCTTGCCATACTGATTATAATGCCTCAAACACTTAAATGTGTTCCTTGGTTGTCATGTTTTTGTTTTTTAACTCAACCTGTTGCTTTGATAAAATACCCCAAACTAATGCAATTAAGGTCATAGTTAATTATAGTAAAGCCAAACTTATCGACATTTCTACATTAAATTTAAAGACAATGTTTTACCCAAAATGATTGGTTACAATTTCAAAAATCAGTAATCAATACAAATAGACTTAGTAATACCGCCTTCAGTTTAATATTATTGCCTAATTGTAAGAATACGATAAGAATTGATTAATCTCTTTTTAAACATTTTGTATTTTCCTATTTTTTTTTAATTTCAAATTCCCTGAATATTTTATATTTCTTCAGTAAGGTTTACTTTATAAAAAATAAAAATCATGCTAACATGAATTATTGATTTAACATGATAATTGTATGTCCTGCTTTTAAAACAGGTGTTTAATTATTAATAATTCCAATTGATATAAAATATTTTTAAAGTACAGGATATGACGTATAAGTATAAGAATTAATGGCAGGAGAGTGGCATTATAAGTATTGCAGCGTTAGGCTATCTTCATTTTGAGTGGCAAAATGAGAGGCAAACATCTGCTATCCTTGAGTATTAAGTATACAAACTGGTTTTATCTATCTTATTGTGGCATATCATAGTGTATTATTAGATTTAAAAACAATCTATCCATCTGCTTTTTACATCGGGGGGCTTTCGCAAATTTTATTGGTTTTTCCAAACTTCAAATCTCATCCGTTAATTTTTAATGAGAATTGATGAATTGATTACTAGGTTTCCATAGATTTATTTGAAAACAGATGCTGTATCAGAAATTAAGGGTTTTTTTTATCAAAAATACTAGGGGTTTTTTTTTTTCTTTTTTTTTAATAAATGTACAAGTGGCTGGATACTCCTTGAAATCTGATGGATTCTTCTTCAATGTTAACTAGGAACAATCATTTTCAAGTTCACATATTTTTAAGTACTTTGCACTGATATTGAGGATCAACAGATATGTAGTCAAACTAAAAGACGCGGATGGAAACATAACACACGACTCTGATGGAGAAATAATTGAATGTTTTAATATTCTTATTAATTGCACGTGACAAATGAAGAATACATCTTTGGATTTAGAAGTTTCTGTTGAACAAACTTATAGTTTGCTATAAAAGAAACGAAATCTAAGGTACTTCAAAATACTATATTTTTATTTGATTAGTAAGATATGAATAATTTTCTTTACTATTACATGTACATGTATTCATTTTTCAGTAATACAAAAGACTCGTTAAAAAAACACTGTAAATGAGGAATTCCTTTTTTTTATTCTTTACCTCAAATACGAGATTGGATTATGGCAATGTTTAAAGTTGAATATTATATATATATATATATATATATATATATATATATATATATATATATATATATATATATATATATATATATATATATATATATATATATATATTTTTTTTTTTTTTTTCTTTTTTTCTTTTTTTCAGGGGGAAGCTTAAAATCCACAGGGTAAGAAGTTAAGAGACATTCTCTGTAATGACTTGAACTTTTATATAGGAGCTGTGGCACACATAGTCTCAGAATTTCTCCAAACTCTTTATGATAAAAGTCTTTGATACCGCTTACTCAAATCAGGCAAAATTGGTTGCTACGTGTCAAGATTACCATAGCAACATGTCCTAAAGATTGAAAAATGGCATTTTTCAACATGTTCAGAGTCCCACAGTTAACGTTTGCAGCAAATCAAACAAGTGATCATGACTGTTTCTGAAAGTTGAAGGCCTGATGTCTTAAATGCATGATAAAAATATTTGGTAAATCAAATATTACATGCGTTACTATGGAAACAAAGTATTCAAAAGTAATAATTTTGTTCATTTAATTTTATGAAGTCATACACTTAAGGATAAAGACAATTATAGGTTGAAATGCAAGCAAATAATAGACAAGAGATCCTTGTAAGATATACCAAGGACGAAATATGATATTTCTTTTAGGTTGGCAATGGTTGCCATGGTTTTAATACCACGAAAGGATTTTAAATTTACTCTCTTAGTGTTTTAATCTTATCCTATCTTTTCAAAAAGCATATTTCTATATAACTGATGATCATTTTTTAAAAGGCGTTGGTGTGACCCTAATTTTCACATTTCAAAAAAATTAAATTCAGTTCTTTAAATAGTGCATTGCTATGGAAATAAGGCGAAAAACATGCATAAAAATCTGAAAAATAGTCTGTTTCCTTGGATACGTACCCTTGTATGTAGAATCCCAAAACTTTAATGATTGATATATATGGACAACTAACCCAACTTTCAATTTTGACTACCACCCAATCTCTAACTGGATGCAAAAAACTGGCACATTGGGTTTAATATTGACATCAAATTAATAAAATCGAACATTTTCCCTTCATGGTAACCATAGCAACAGTGTTGTATTTTTCAACAAACTTTATCAATATATGATATTCAACGTTACCAGATAAGTACTATTCAAGGTTAGTCAAATAATATGTTCCTTGATTAAAAGGCAAGTAAATTCCTGAAGCAGCAAAAAAAAATATCACTTTAAACAACTAGTACGTTGTTTCCATGGTTTCCACTGCAAAGAAACGATTAATCCCAATTTTTCTTGTGTTTTCAGTGTTTCAAAGTCCTAAGGATGTATATGTGCCAGTCATGAATTTTATTGTTTTTCCTCAAGATAGTAGCATTAACCATATCATAGCAACAGACATTGCATGGTAACACTGTGTTACCATGGCAACCATGAAAGTTAGTTTTAGATTAATATTGCCAATACCTGATTACTTAAGGTCAAATATTTTTTATTTTTTGTTTTTCTTAAGTTGTTGATTGAGTTTGATCATGTAACATCTATCATTTGTGAATATTGAGCATTTTTCAGCATCTAAAATGTATTCCAAATGTACCCATGGTTACCACTTACTTAGAGATAAGTTCTAATAGTTTCTTTATAGCATAGGTTGCAACAAGGTGTCATGTTTTTGGGAGAATAGTTTGTTTGTTTTTCTTAGTCTTTATAAAGGCTTAATAAAGATTCAAAGTAGCTGAAAATCTCAATTTTTTCAACTTTTCTGGCTGTTACCATGGCAACCAAGACACATAGCAACAAAATTTTATTTGATATATGTTTCTGGTGTCAAGTTGTAATAATAGGCAAAATTGCATCTAAATCGGTGACCATGCGTGGCAAAGAAGTTTAAGTGGTTACAGAGAATCGCTATTAACTTTTCTATAATCATCACAGTTTAATTAGATATATTTTCTTCAAAAAACATCCCTATCTTAATTAAACTGCCCATTTATCAGCAATTTAATAATTTTAAAATCCGAGTTTCTGTATGAAGGCATATACACGTTACATAAAAATTAAGCACTTTAAAAATTTAAAGCCTTTTAAACTATGAATAAAAGAGCATTGTTTTTTAAGATATGAGTTTTACATGTAGCCTATTCAGTAGGCAAACAAACAGTTCTCACCTTAATTACTTATCCATTTCTGACATGACATGTTGACATGACATTAATTTCTTATACACTTTCTCTTTTAAAAGTCATAAAATGCCATCCCATCTTCTACTGTAGGAATGAATTTTTAGGTCGTTCTCAACAGAGAAAAAAAATCCTGTTGTTCCTTTAGTAGTTTGTAGGACAGTCTGTCTTTCTAACATTGATTCTTTTCCGGCTTTAATTTAACAAAACATTACTTAGGATAAGATACTTTAATTTACTATGTAACACTTCGATACTTTATATGGACAAATTTTAGATCATAATGAAATTTTACTTTTGAACCTTTTTTTCTCTTGCCGAGTGTAAACAAAAATTTTATATTTTTTTTTAAATTCTGGTTATGATAAAGCATAATTTTGCAGTCAAATGAGGCTATACAATATTTATTGCTTAAAAATATCCGAAGAAATGTAAAACATTAAGTAATGGTAATGTTCTTTTTTAGAATACATCCTGTCATGGGAAATAACTTGACAACTCGACGCCATGTATTAACTTGTGAACATCCAAACCTGAAGTATTTCTGCGTTGTGTGTGAAAAAGGCCTTTGTAGCTATTGTAGATTAAGACACATCATAGACATAAATACGGAATTCCATAAAATTCTGAAATTTGAAGAGGAAAAGTGTTCTCATCAGGACAAAGAATATTACTGCAATGCATGCGACCGAGGTATCTGCTCTTTGTGCAAAGTCATACACGCCGTGGACAAAGAATTTCATAATATTGTACAAATAGAAAGATCGATATGTACACATCAAAATAAGGATTATTATTGTAATGCATGCGATCAAGGCCTCTGCGATGGATGTAAAGAGAGACATGTAGGAGAATATGCTACAAAGTCTCATTTTGTTATAAGAGTTGAAAATTTGTTTAAATGTGCTCATCAGAACAAGGCATATTACTGCAACCATTGCGACCGAAAGATGTGTGTCCCATGTAAGAAGAACCACGTTGTTTGCCAGTTCACTAAATCACATGAAGTAGTACCATCTGAAGAATATAAATCTATTCAATGTACTCATGAGAGGAAAGATTATTTTTGTAGAACTTGTGATAAGGGACTGTGCATACCATGTAAAATAGAACATGTTGTTAACATGGACACAGCATCTCATGAAGTTGTTCGGTGTGAAGACTTGTTTAAGTGTATTCATGGAGGTATAGATTATTATTGCAAAACATGTGACCGAGGTCTTTGTGTACATTGCTCAACCAAACACCTCAGTGGGCACTATACCTCATCCCATCGTCTTATAAAATTTAGAGATCTATATCAGTGCATTCATCAAAGAAAAGATTATTTTTGCAATAATTGTGACTTATGTCTTTGTGAGCCATGCAAAGATGAACACTTGGTAATGCAGAGTACAAAATCCCATGATGTTATACGATTAGACCTTGTGTTTAAGTGTACCCATCAACAGAAAGATTATTACTGTAATACATGTGATCGAGGATTCTGTTTCAAATGTAGAAAGAACCATGTCGTAGATCTTGACACTAGATTTCATGATGTCACCGTTCATAAAGAACGGTCTGGAGAGATAACTGAAGACGAAGTATGCAAGATACACTCAGGCGTTAGATATGAAATGTGGTGCGTGTCATGTAGTATTCCAATTTGTTTGAAATGTAAAGGACACTGGACACATGATCTACTAGAGATAAGGACAGGCTATGATATGCTAAGACAAGAATACGAGGATAGAATAGTTAATATCAGAAGTGGGATTCTCCCATACTGTCAGGCTATGTTAACAGGAAGAAACCCCATTATCAGTAGAGAAAAGAAAGATTGTAAGAGGGAAATTTTTTACATCTACAATGATATGATCATCAAGGCTGAGGCACTAAAACGTCAGATAGATATGGTATTACCTAGGGTAATAAGGCAATTTTCACTTTGCAAATTACAACAAAATAAAGTAATGAACAGTCTTGCTATACACAAATTAGAGAACAGTTGTGGACTCTTGATAAACAGGCCGGTGCAATTCCTCCTATTCCTTAAGAAACACTCTGTAGTCAAGGTAAAGAACTTTTCCAATATATTTAAACAAGTATGCTTTTCTGACAAAATCAACCAAAAAGATGTCAGTGATTTATTGCTTGAAATAAAAATTCCAGAGACAGGGAAAAGACAAATCGGAAACGAGCAGCTGTTCAAACTTATGGAAACAGCCATCTTACGGAAAGCTTTCTTAGTGAATGGTATTAGCTGTAGTTACCACATTTCCTGTCTTTCATCGAACCAGCTTTGTGTCAGTGATAATAACAAACTCGTTTTCACAGACATCAGTAGTAACATTTTACATCAGCTGAGCGATATAGAAAGTGGAAGGCAAGTACATGCAGCGACCAACAAAGGTGATTTGATTTATATAGACAAGTATTATGATATCAAGAAACTATATACAGTAGATTATACAACGAGTTCATTACTTAAAACATCGGAACCATGGAGACCATGGTGTCTCCACAGTTCACTTCTAACTGAAGACCTGCTAGTATTGATGAGAAAGCGGAATGAAGATGTATTTGATTATACAAAAGCCAAAGTTACCCGGATCAAGGGTACAGGAGAACACATCCAGACTATCCAATACCAAAGAAAAGGAATTAAACTGTACAGTCGCCCTGTATGCATCACTGAGAACAGTAATGGAGACGTTATTGTGTCTGATTATGACTGCGGTGTGGTTGTGACAGATTATGGTGGGCGATATCGTTTTTCTTATACTGGTCCTCCATTGGGATCACAATTATTACCACAAGGAATCTGTACAGACTCCCTCTCCAATATTCTTGTGTCTGATCGTCACACCTTCGAAATCCAACTGATTGATAAAGACGGCAGCTTTCTTCTATCGCTGCAAACATCAAAACAAGGTATAGGAAGACCATGGAGCCTGACCTATGATTACAAAAATCAGCTTCTTTGGATTGGGTCGAATTTTAACAACAGAGTGTGTGCATATAGATACATAGAACAACAGGACTATATCAAAGGTAATGATACGTACTGTAGATTCGAAACAGAATGATATATGCATTTTAAGGCATTCAAATATGGGATCATTGCGTGGGAAAGTAATTATTATTTATTTGGATAGGTACTACTACTTTAGCTTTCAAATGACCAAAATGCTGGCAAAAAAAAATCCCTCTCGATCTATTTATGGTCATTATTTCCGAGTCAGGTGTTTTGTTACTCTACTGGAAATTAGTGGTGTCCAAAATAAAGAAAATATTTTTCGAAGGGATATGTAGCAAAGAAGCAACAACAATTTACAAGCTTTGACACATATTTATGTTGCAAAAAATAGGGATTTATTTAATGAATGTGCAACACTTCTTCTGAAATTACAAAAAACGCTACTGCGAAAAAAATAAGGAGTTCAGGGAACAAGGTTTTTGTATAAAAAAAAAAGTGACTAATTGCACATCTAAAACCTTGATCCACATTTATAGGATACCACCAATTATATTCCAAAAGATGAGTTGACTACTGCAAAAAGAAATGTACATGTAAGAGGAGTTCAGGAAACGAGGTATTTGTAGAAAAATGTCATTTATTGATCCCAAATCACCCTAAGGGTGAAAAGTGAAAATTCCAAAACCTTATTGCACATCTAAAGGACGCTCCCAATCAAATTCCAAAATATGAATGGGTTATTGCAAAAAATGTAAGAGAAGTTCAGGGAACCAGTTTTTATGAAGAAAAAATGGCGTTTCTTTCTGCAATCGCCCCAGGCTGAAAATTGAAATTCCGAAACCTTATTGCAAATCTACAGGACAGCACTACTCATACGCCAAAAGATGAGTTGGCTACCGCGAAAAATGTAATAAGAGTTCAGGGAACAGGATTATTTTGTAGAAAAAACGATATTTTTTATCCCCAATCGTCCAAGGGTGAAGCAGAAATTCCAAAACCTTATTGCACATTTATAAGACACCACCAATCATATTCCAAAAGATGAGTTTTTTGCAGAAAAAAAATTGTACCCCAATCGCCCCCTTGCTGAAAATGTAATTTCTGAAACCTTGTTGCACATCGACATGACATTCCCAATCACATTCCAAAATACGAAGTTTGGCTTCTGTGAAATATCTAAGAAGAGTTCAGAAAATCAGGATTTTGAAGAGAAACACTTTTTGACCTTCAATTGGCACCCAAAGGTGAAATAAAAATTTTAAAATCATTTTGATCATGTTAAAGGCACCACTTATCATATTCCAAAACATTAGTTGGCTACTGCTTAAAACGTAAAAGTAATCTGAGAGAAGAAGAAAAAGTGTCAGACGGACTGACAGGAATAGCAAAAATAAACCCTAACTTACTTTAGAAATTGCGAGTATTATAATCATAAATCAGTATTGTGTACCAACAAATAAATAAATATATGTATATTTCTAATTATTAACTTTCTTTCTATGAGCTAATTATGGCACATGCTTATAAATAAAGATGGTTTGCGATTTGTTTTTAATTCCAAGATTCCCAGGAAGACATATCCAAAAGGTAATTACAGTAAATTACTGCAAAACATTACTCCTCCTGTATGTCAGTAAGTTGTTTCGTAATATTAAGAATATGAGAATCTGAAATTAGTGAATAGCTATAGAAATCCTAAGATGAAAAAATAAGTAGATGTTTTGATAAGAAAAGAAAGATGGAATGTAAAACTATTTTATACATTATATGCTCTGTCTTATGAAAATTTAGAGAAAAATATTTTAATGACTGATTTTCTTTGTAGGTTGATGATCTTCAGACTGAGAATTTGTGTCAAGTTCCTGAAACTAAAATTTCCTCTTTGTTATTAGGCGATTAGTGACATGTGGAAGAGGAAAATGTAACTTTCGATACACTTTATGATGACAGGAAGTCATGTTCATCATGTGTACTCTCGTAAAAAATACAAAATTGGATGTAAGTCCCTTTGATGAAATGGCCAGAAAATAATAACGTATTGGTAAACTGTGTAAAAGGACAAAGGACACGTTTAAGAGATCAGATGAACCATCGGATGCATGTGGGTTTAGTTCTTAACATAGTTAATAATGAGCGATATGTACATATTCTGAAATAAATCATTTGGAACTTGAATTTTTCTCTCAATTCATTTGAAGAATGACTTACAATTTAAACTTCAGTTTATTAACAATTACTTTTTAGCGGTATACATATTCTGAAATAAATCATGTGGCCTTTGTATTTTTCCCTGGAGTCTTCTGCAGAATAATTTTTAAAAACTGAGCTTCAGTTCAGCGCTTAATATACATTATAATTAATAATTATATGTACATACATTTGTATTTTGAAATAATCATGAGACACTTGAATTTCTCTATGAATTCATCTGCAGAATGACTTAAAAAATTTACTTTATTACATTTTAAAAGTCGGGTTCTGGAAGCAAAATTTAAATTTGGCCTGAAAGTGTAATTTTTGCATGTTTTGACTATGTTGTGTAACTGATCATGCATGTTCAGGCCTGTTGAAATTTAACTTTCTCTTGATAAAAATATCACTGTTTATGGTATGTACGTCGAATTTCGTTTTTATAACTGTATGATCGTATGCTTACAATTGTTATCCCCATGCTCAAGCAATGTTGCGCTTCCTTATCAAGCTAGATCTTAATAGATTTTCACGCAGACTGCATTAATATTTAACATAATTTGTTTGTTTGTTTGTTTGTTGTTGTTTTTTTTTTAATTTAAGAACTGGGGATTTAGTTAACAAAGTACAATTCAAACAATTCAGCTCATTTAATGTCAACCATTCAAGTACTCATATGCTGTAATAATTAAAAATGATAAGTGTTATGCACCTCAGTAAAATTTATTGGACATAACTAAGCCAGCGATTCCAGTTCCACTGTGAACATAGAGTTTTGTTTGTTTACTGATATTTCATATTGGTTTCAAGAATGATACATTTTTATAACATAGAACAACTACAGTTTCTGTAGAAGTCTAGATCTTCTGTTATTTTTGTGTCATTTCTCTGATTCAGCATTGTTCAATGGACCTTCTTTGATCACTCTGGGCTAACTCTTGGAGGATTTAGACGACCTAGTAGATACGTAGAAAGCATACACTTTGCCTGCATTAAGCCTGCTTTTTCAGACTGTTTCTAGTTTGTATCCTATAAAAAACACAGATGAATTGTCAGTTACAAATATCCATTCCACTGGATAAAAAAAAGTCAGTCAACGAGCGTTCAACCAGTTTTAACATTAATTTCAATACTTTTTTCCGCAATCTGGGTGTCATGAACATAGATACATGTACGACATCTCGGAAATGCTTTTTTTTCTTCCTGGTTCCGTAAAGCGTACATAGTCTAAACTATATTTAGAAATTAAAAAAAAAAGATCTATTTATGGAATACACGAAGGCTATTCGAAAATTATTGAGACATTTAATTTTACACTATAAAGAGATAAATTCCTGAAAATCGTCAAAATTTTATCAAGAAAACAATAATTAATAGTGTAAAATTTCTATTTAATAGGATCATTAGATAAGTCCCGGTGAAATTCTAAACTCGCATATGTCCATTGTCATGGAGCAGCATCACACGGTTATTTTAATGACACGCCAGATGTACACTTTACGCGTATAACTTTTCTCGTGTTAAATTAGTAACTCTTCTTTCCTGTCATCATTTATAATTATATTATAAAAATTAAACACTCTCTTTTCTTAAAAATTCTTTTAAAAAAATATAATTGTGTTGTTGCTGCCTAAATGTAATATTACATGAAGTGTCAAGTACTGTTTGACAAGTATCATGCAGTGCCGAATCAACGTTATTTATTCCATAAAAATTGATGGTCATCCGGCGCCTTTGTTTTCACTCTGGTTGATTAAATTGTAAGCAAAAAAAAAAATACCAATAAAAAAAAATTGAAATGTTTTGTCGAATTGTTATTGCTTTAGCAGGTCGTTTATTCTGGACAGGAGGTCTCCAAAACGCTACACAAAATTTAGGTATCCTCACTGTTCCGCCTTGACATCAAAATCCATTTTGCTGTCGTAATCAGATTTCTATACCGTGATGAAAATCATTCATGATCTCCGTATTTCTGGTCCAAATTCTATTTAAATTCTATTCTGTATAAAAAGAAGTAAAAATTAACATTGAAAAATTATTTACATAATTTGAAAAAATACCCACTTAAGGTCAGACTCACGTTCCTCAATAATATATAATTTTCCCAAGAATTTGTCACTGAAGTATTGCCATTTTAACAAGTTTCCTCACAAAAAATTGAGATACCTTACCAAGCATTTGTGCAAGATACCAGTGGGTGGGGTATCCTATAATCCTTTTCGTAATCTTTTGAATTTCCAGTATAACAATTTTTGGTGTACTTATCATTTAATACATTTTGAAAACAATTTAGAAATCATAAGAGAATGACAATTATGAATAATGTTTGATATATTATGAAGATATGTTAAACAGATATTTGAGGATCGTGTCGTCAGACCTTAATACGGCTCAAGGGAACTTAGTACATGTTCTAAGTAGTTACTGATTTTCATTAACTGATTTTGTGACTGTGCCGAGTAACCCTACTATCCACACATTGATATAAAGTAGAAAAGAGAAAAGAAAATATTTGTTAAACAATTCTTGCTTTTATTTATTTTTAGTGTTTATTAAACATATGTACTAAATTCCACCAAAAGGCGTTCATTAGAAAGAAATATAAATGTCTCGATAATTTCCGAACCAGTCTTCGTAACTATGCTTCATGCCTCTAAATGCTTATATATAGATTAAAGCTGAACTACGACTCGTAAATAGGCATACGCCATTTTCGATATTACTATCTACGATATCAGCACCGGGGTATACTCTTCGCATTCGTTACACTTGACTGCTTTATTGTCACAGGTATCGGCGTGGAATGCGACCCGTGCTCGTACTGGTTATCTTGCATTACCTTTGTTTACAATTTATTGCAGTTACGTATATTTGTGTTTGTTTGTATACTGCACTGACCTGTGCAACTATTGAATGTCT